ATATATTTCATGGGGACTTTCATGACCTTTACTGCCATTCTTTAAAATTAAGTCTCAACCTATAATCAAAACCAAAGAATGTCGACTAATAAGAGGAGAAATTTTTGAAGCCTGCCGAGTTAACCCAGATGCTTTGCCACATCAGCCGCTGCTCCTGGTGTGCCAGTGCGATGCTGGATGCGACAGGCACAGTGCGAACACCGCAGCACTGGGGCGCAGGCTTTACGGAATAATCGGAACTTTATCAGGAGTAGGAGACTCTATTTCTATCTTGACGCAGCAGCTGTCATCTGGGCATTTTAGGGGATCTGGCGACCTCTTAGCGTGTTAGCATCGCGACAATAGCTGCATCATCGTCTGGGAGTTCAGACGACGACTCGGTTAGTGCGGGTAACGAGCAAGTTTTAGCCAGGTGACCGGGGACACCAGAACAAATATTTGTGCAAACTTCTCTTTAAAAGTGACAGCCTTCATTCTCCCTCTATGCCTGACCAAACAAGAAACATGGTGCAAAGAGTTAGAGTGGAGTGGGCAAACCGAATGACCCAACATGTCCCGTCGGCAGCGTTGGGTAGCCGTTTTTGGACGTAACGACGGGGAGGGCAAACGAAAGAAACAGGAAATTAGTATGCACATGTATAGTTGGATGGATTGATATAAAGCAGACGAAATGATGAGCACCTGGGCACAGACTTGTCAATCAGTTGTTGCAATTTCTGTTTCACATTGCACGAAGCGTAAGGAAAAAAACAGTTGGCATTGCCATTACATTTGCCGTGGCACCGAGGTCCTGCAACGATTCTGATTCTGCAGCATGCATCCAAAAAAGATTTGTGGGGTTTCTTTCTCCACAAAAAGGAACTTCGCACCCCCAAACACTCAGTCTCCACACAAATGTGGCGCTAGAGGTCCAGCCCAGTATGCCAAAATGTCAGAACGAGCCATTATATCATTCAAAAGTGATTTTATGAAAATTTCAATGGGGAAAGTGGGACTCGTTCCTAATAGCTGACGTGATTCAGCTCCATATGTTTAATGGCTTTATTGGTCGTCATTTAAATCTTCTAAAATCACTTTATAACTTTTGATCTAGATAACGGCAAAGCTCTGAAACTTCGGCATCCCGTTCGGACCGCTAGCACTACACGTGGGCCGAGACTGAGCATTCAGCGATGCACTGGTTTTGCGGTAAAAAAAACACTGTAAATGCCTCTTTTTTTTGTTTTGTTTTTCGGGGACAGCCTGTTTTTTGGGTGTTTACGACCTTAGTGTCTCTAATAGATAGCAGCTTTTGCACTGGGTCCTGGTAAGGCAACTGATTCCTCAAACAGGTTGCAAGTTGGCAGAGTTGTGATACAGAGCTTAGATGTATAGGCCAGGTAATAAAATGCTCTGGGGTATGAAATCCTAGACTCGCAATTTCTTCCGTTTTGGTTGTCCTGCTTTTTAGCCTTTTGGCACAGTTGTGTTGCCCCGAGGCTTCCGTCAGATTTAATTTTCTTTCAATTTTATTTGAAGTTTGCCTCTGGCAAACAAGAGTCCTAGCGGACGAATGTAGAAAATGTCCTCCCCATTGCTGCAGTTGGTGCTGTCGGATGTGAATGTCTACACTGATCAGCCGAAACATTATAACCACCTACCTAATACCGTGTTGATCCACCTTTGGCATACAAAACAGTTACAGAAGTTGTCTGCTGCAGAGTTCCATACTTAACAAAGTATTATGAGCAGTGTGCTCAGAGACACTTGTGCCTTTACTTGCATTGTCAGGTGAGCCACGGGCAGCCACCTATTTTGCTTCTCCAAGCAGGAAAGCCTCCAATGTCCACGTTCTGTGATGAAGCAAGGAAGTGCAAGGCGTCTATTAACGATTTCACCATTCTTCCACTTCTTATGGGTACTAACGACGGCAGCTTGTGAACACCTGATGAGCTTTGCAATTTCTGAGACACTTGTTCCGAGTTGTCGGGCTGTTACAATCTTCCCTCTGTCGAAATCGCTTAAAGCAACGGCCTTTCCCAATTGCGTGCATTCATAGTCGACAAAATAACCCCTTTGTATCCCCCGACAGCCATCAACCACCATCCGCATCGGCAGGTGGTGGATACCGCGAATGGCACGTAGGCCAAGAGCAATCATTCCCACAGTGTAGGGGCGGTCGTAGTGTTTTAGCAATCTCTTTCTACTAAACATCTCCAAACATTAGTTGTAATCATGTGCCTTTCCCAACATTTTAGTTTTTACCTTTAATAGCTTGACAAAGTAATGCATGCATAATTAGTGCAAACAGTGATTGCTGGTTTTTGCTGCCTGTCTCTTAAACCGAAAAGGCTGTCGCAAAGGTTACTAGTGTGGTAGACATGGCTTATTTGGGACACTAATCTCGGCGGTAAAATTTTATATCCTCCAATACCGGCCGCTTCGAAGTAAAGTGTGTAAAAGTGTTGATGCAGAGTTTGCGCTAACAGTGTCGTGCAGTGTACTTATTGCTTGCATATAGAGTTCACTGGTTGTACATGACAAGATTTTGCAAAAGGTATTGGGCAGGTTGTACACAAATGCACATTATTCAGATACATTTGACTAAGGGGGGACACTACCCAGAAAAACAAATTAAAAAAAAAAAGTTGATTTTTAAAAATGTAGTAGTATTTACATTCACCAACATCTAGAAACTATTCCCAGAAAGTTTCATTTGTTTACACTGCATACCTAGTTATTTTTTTTAGAAATTATTTTCGGCCCATCGTTGCTAAAGAAAAAGTAGAGGTTTAAACACTCTAAACACATTTTTCCCCGTTCCACATTTTGGCATAAATTACACTTCAGGAAAACTATCATTTGGTAACAGGGCAAATGGAAAGGTTCACTCAATGTTTTTTTTAACTGTAATTTATTGGGCAATGCTACTGTGGAATTTTTTTTTTTACTTTGTGTATTTCATTTAAAGATTTTGTCAATAACATAAAAGGCAAAAAATTAATTTAATTTTTCAGCACAATGTTAGCACACAATACATTACTTTTCAAAAATTTTGTTTACACAGTTGCACTCTCCAGGCATTCTGCTACCTATGTATCTGGTTGAAGTTAAATGTTGGGTATTACATTAGTTTTCTAACAGTTTTCCTAAGCAATGTCACTGTGTAACTGATAAAAACAACTATAAATTTTTTCACAATTCATGTACACAGATGAAACTTTGCATTGCATTGTGTTTTGGAACTGCCATTATGTGTACGGTACATTTCATTCATATTAAGCCAAAGGTTCAAAAGTTTACCCTTTGGGTAGTGTCCTCCCTGAAGCCATTGTAGATGCGAGGCTAACATCAAAGCCATCGGTCAAAGGACAAGGACACCAGAATCTTCAATCTTTGCAGATATATACCTCCTAGTCTCGAGTTGTGTCTGTACCCGAGAGCCCATAAAACCAAGTTCAAGGAAGATGGCTAATAAATTTATAGGCACATACTGTCAAGCAATGCACATTATGCTTGTGCCTTCTTTCTGTTCAGTGCCGAGTTATTGAGTGCACAGCAGTGTACATTGCACATATTTAACGACATAAAGCGGCGTAACTTTTGGCGTCACTGTACTTGCCGTCGTTGCATCATTCAATAATGCGCTGGGTTCAATCAGCAGCAATTGTAGCTGAATTCAGCAGACCTTAAAGGGGCACTGACACCCCAAAGGTCGTATTCTTTTTTATTGTCTAAAACGATGCAAGTTGTAGTCATAAACACGCAAAAAAAAAACGCATCGCAAAAAAATATTTCCCTTCGCGCACGCGCGCCTTTTTATTTTTGGCGTTTATATTTCCCGCGCTCACCTCCTTGCTTCTTTTGATCGGTGACGTCAAAAATCAGGAAATTTAGAAGCTTTGTAGGCGACCTTTCTATAACATTTAATAACGGCAATCGTAAAACATGTTTTTTAACGCAATGGCGAACGCACTACGGCCTTTCTTTTTGAAATACCGAAAATAAGATTTCGGTGTGATGTCGCTTCCTGGATTTGTATGCTCCCTCGGAAAACTTGGCGGCGCTCGAGCAGAGGATTATCGGCGAGTCGGGGACGAAACCGGTTCTTTTCCCGCGCCGGCGCCCTTCTATCCCGCCTGCTCGCCTCCTCCTCCCTTTGGGCCGCGGTAGCAATGGCGCTTAGCTTCACAGCGTGGAGCGGAGGTCCGAAAGAAAGTCAAGTCGCAGGAGACCGCAAAATTTGACTCACTGCACTGGCGCGGATCGCGCGGGAACTTCAAATTCGGCATTTGGAAATTGTTTTTTTAATTCACAAATACTGAATTCCCAAGTTTCAAATTTTGAGGGTAATGTCCAGGCATCGTTTTCAATCGTTTCGGATAGTAAAATAAAATATAATTTTGATGTGTCAGTGCCCCTTTAAGGCAACTGTACTAGAACTCTGTTGCAGGTTAAGAAAAGTAGGAGAAGCTCCTGCCACAAAGCCTCCCACTCTTTCCACTTTAGCAGAGTAAACGCTGGAGAGCGAGGTGAGCGGAGAGGAGAAAGCGACCCATCGTCTTTTCTTGATCTGGAACCGACTATAGGCGCATGTACTTACTGTACAGCACTGTCGCGTTCATTATGAGCCGAAACAGTCCTTCGTGCTTCTTCGGCGTACCTGCCAGTTCTTGAGAGAGCTGCGGTCCAAACTAGGAGCAAAGTTTAGGTCCCATATTTCGGACTCTGACAAATTGAGAGATAATAGAGCTTGTGGGGACCATAGACACGGAAAAAGGCCTGATCGGCTGTTAGAGGTCGTATTGATCGTGACTAATACCTGTTGCTTTCAGCAGATATTGGTTGTGCATGCATTTAGCAGTTTGTCATGATCCTGTGGGATTGTCACGTCTTGCCGCTTTCAAAGCCTAGAATTGTTGCTTCTTGTTTTCGCGTAATTATTATTTTATGTTTTTTTTACATTTTGAAATGTATGCATTGGACTGAAACGAGCATGTTGTTCCTCCCCTGTCTCGCAGCTTGTAGCCGTGTTCATAGCGTACCGTTACCGGCGTCAGAGGAACCCCAAGGCGGACCCCTACCTGCTTCTAGGGCTGCACGGGGGCGCCCACGTCACGTGACCTCAGCTGTGGGGCACCGGACTCTGCCCAAACTGCCTCCCTTCGCCACCCTTCTGCCCTGTGTAACCCGTGTGTGTGTGTGTGTGTGTGCTTTCTTCCCCAGCAAATGCGAAGCTCTTTGACGTGGAGTTTAGTTTGTTTCGACAGTTGCCCTCAGTATCATGTCGTTTCCACGAGCCCCTAGTTTTCCTTGATCACCGAATTTACGGTCGTTCAAAGGTGCACAAAAGTTGTCGCCTCCACGAGCAGAGTTTGAGTTTGCCGGCACTGTAAATCCTAGGGTGTGCAAATATATGTAGTATATCCTCGGTGACCGGTGCACAAAAATTGGGGGCACAAACATAAGGGGCTTTTCAGTATTTTTGCAGTTGCTGTGACAGACGCAAGTTTCTTTCTTTTTCTTGCTTCTTTTTGGGAGGGGGTGTGGAAGATACTCTTAAAAAGTGTGAGAGGCCCAAAGATATGGGAAGCAATGCATTGTAGAGGGCTGTGCTCCATTCACCCTCCAGCCGACAGTAGGAAGTCGCGACAACTCTGGTAACCATGCCAAATACCCTGCCGGCGCCTGCGCGCACGCATCGGGCATTGTTGTCGGAATTATCGAAATGGTCTTGCACCACACTCGCCGCCTATTATGCGGAGGCCGTAGTTGCACGGTGCAGAGCCAACCGTAGATAGGTCTGGTTGGCAGCACTTGCACAGCTGTCAGCCTACGGACAAAGGGAGCACTCAAACTTGTTTGTGTGCTCTTGCACTGGGGCCAAGCTCCATTTGCTAGACGCATTGTGAAGAGCCTGACTCCCACGTCCGACTCCCAACATATGCAGCTTCGAGACCAGTTTTGCTTACTGTTTTGTTTTGTGCCGATCTCTCAGCCTAACTAAAGCAGGAAATAGTAGTGGCAGATCTGCAGTCTTTGGGAAAGTTTGAATTTCGAAATCTTGATTTAAAGGGATACTTCAACGAAATTTGAAATATTCCCGTCGTGTTCAAAAATAGGTTGAATATGATCCACAATATCCGTAAATAACAATCGCATGTTTGTATTTTGAGCCTGGTGGCTGTATTTTTCGTTATAAATGCCCCACTTTGGCAAGCACTCAGAGAAAGCCCAGCGAAGACCACGTGACATCCAACGCAATCGTGACGTAGGTCGTCTGGGGACGAGCAAAGCTACGGCGAGGCTGACGTCGAGGGGATGGCCTAGTCGTTCCAGCCACCGAAGCGGCTGCTTTTGTACGAATTTTGAGTGACTGGTTAATCTTCTATAATCTTGTAGGGGGACAATAGCGACTTGTGGAACACACAAAAGGGATTCTCGGGAAAAGGGGAGTTCCTCCTTCCCCTCTTCTCTCGTCGTGGCCGGAGGCGAGACAGTCACCGTCACTAGCTGTCAAGGTTCCTAGACGGGCATTACAAGCGAGGCGTTAGCGACATCCACCAGGTGCTCTTTGCTAATTGTTTAATTTGTTTTAAAATTCCTTTTCGAGACTTTTTTAGCAAGATATTGGTATGTTCGATGTGATACTGCTCCTCTGAGCACATATAGACCAAAAAATGAGCGCCGAAATTTCGTTGTAGTATCCCTTTAAGGGGACTTTGGAAAATGCCTTTGGGGCATAAAAGTGGTCTATTGGTTCAGAAGTAGTGAGCTTCTTTGTGCATTTGAGTTTTGCAGTAACGTTTTGGAATGAAGATCAGCAGCCCTGGAACATTGCCCACCCTAAATCCGCACACAAGGCTCAACACAGTTGGCATGTCCACACGATTGCCGTTTTTTCCAATTTTCTCTTAGAATTGAAAGCACTCGAAAGTGGTGAACGTAATCAGTAAATTCCTTGTCTGATTGATGTGCTGCAATCCGTCAATATTGTATTTATGCTAACTGCATTGCGCAGTGTACATTATAACTTATAAGGAAATTACGTCTAAGCATGAAATCGACTCAAAAAGACTCGGCATGTCACGCAGCACGCTCTTTTTTCAGAAATGTTCTCCATTAATATCGGGCACCCACAGTGTTTGTTCACGCAGTTTATTGTCCTGTGCCAAACAAACCAATTGTTTGGTTTAATGGGCCTCACCAAACTTCGGTCTCGGGGAAAATAGTAGATATAATTTTGGACAGGATAAGGCTTTTTATGTTGATATATTGCCTTTTTTAAACCCTTTTCTTGTGTTCCTTGTGTCATCATACAATGCTGTATAAAAAAATAAGTTTTTTTTTTGTATATTTAAGAGATGCACATTCCGAAGGAAGCTTCTATTTATGCATGCCATTCAAGAATACATATTTTTTTATCTTACGTTTATGAGTAAATTGTTGCACAACACCATAGAAGGATGGTTTTGTTGGCCTTATTGTTCCAGTCAAGTTAAAACCTCTCACTTTGACACTTTCTGCTGTAGTGCTGCCTGGTTTTGACATACCATAACCTTGCTATCAACCACGCGTTGGGTAATAACCAGCCCAAGTCGAAAGCGAAGTCTCGGTTCGGGATTTCACGCAAGATCTAATCTGCATAATATGACGCAGTTTAACTGCTTAATGAGCAGTCTTGAAAAAGTGTGCGAACAGCAACCTTTCCATTGCCAACACTTCCAAGAAAGCTGCGAGCACGAGGCCCTAGCTTCGGACGTCTTGTTTCTGCTTCAAGTGGTGACACAGCCAAGGCTGTAGCCTTGAAGTGTGTTTCAGCTGCACGTGCAGGGCCTGCCAAGGCTACAGGCATGCCCCTAAGGCCTTTGGTGTTTCTAAGGTACCCATACTTGTGTAGTGTCGCTGCCGCGCAAGAACATATGCAGCAAAATCTTTTTTGGGACCTGCCATCTCGTACTCAAGGCTATCGCCGACGTGGTGAGCGTAATACAGTGGTCTAGGCTTTTTACAGCTGTGAAGGTGCAGAGAGAATGGCACTGTTTTCGTGTAAGGATGCTGTATGTGTAATGTGTGTGGTCGTGTATGATCCTACTTAGCCAATGGATTAGTAGCATTTCAAAGGCAAGAGTAAACTGTTCCAACATCACCTTTACGACAGCATGCTTGGGTACATGGGGAGATAATACCCGTTGATCACATTGCATATTGATAGATGCATGGGGGAATATCCAGTGTTCATTGTAAAGAACTGGATGTCTCTAAGAAAAAGCTTTCGTACTGCATAAAAAGCTAATCGTTGCATACAGCCGGTTACTGCGTAGGAACTGTTTGGTGATGATGGTAGCAATGAGATGCTAAGGTTTTAGAGCTGTTCCTAGAACCGGACATACTACAAAATTAATTTTATTATTGGTAGACTCTGCTTGGCTCCTTGACCAACACTGAACAATTGGTTTCCAGACGCTCTCGACAGTGTGCTCTTAGAAACATTTCAAGGCCCATGTTCCGACCAATTACAGGCACGGTGCGAGGTTGGCTCCCAGTGTTCAACTTGGGTGTGAACAGTATTTTTGTCACCTCTGCCGGCAGGAAGACGAGCAGACGCCAGTTTTTAGGCAGTGTTCCAATATCCTACAGTTTATGTCTATACTCTGTTTTATGATAAAGGGGGGATGCAACAAGTTTGATACTTTGAGTAAATACCACTTAGAATTTATCGTCGACATTTGTAACCTATAAAGCATGTTTTTTTTTGTTTTGTTTTTTTCCCCATGCAATGGCATTCGCAAAAATATTCAAGAAAAACGAGCAGCATTAACACCTTCCACTCGAAGCCAGAACAATTCGACCACGTGACCTGGAGCCAATCATATGCCGTCAATGTCTATCAGTCGTTGAGTCCAGCTATTCCCATCGTCGCAGCGATTGGGCGCGAGAACGCATGTCTGGCTTAACCAATCGGGGACAGAAAAAGGATCACACCGCATTCACTGTGCATTGTTGGTTCAGCCAGCGATGGCAAATGCACAGAGACGACAAAGGCCTTTTTGCGACCGCTCTATTGACTCCGTCGAAATGTGGCGTTGGCTTTCACTTGAAGTGAAACAGTGTAGTTTATGTGAGCAGAATAGGAGAATTCTGAAAGTTGTCGACCTCTCTTTAATCGAGTGCATTTTGGTTTGACCTGAAATTGTGAGTTGTGTGAACTTGTCCGCCCTACTGTTGTTTGTCTGGCTTCAAAGAAATGTTTGTAGAATCTTGTGTGAGCCGTCTGAAGGTTTTGGGGTTTGTAAATCTATTTATTGGTTTGGCACAGCGGCATTTCCATTTGCCCAAACGCATTGGGAATTGCCGCTTGTAAAGGTATGTCCATTGTACATAAGTTGCATCATTTTGGGTTGTATATGAATAAAGAGCTTCGAGACCAATCGGTTTATTTTGCCCGAGTTACTACTAAGATTCCTGGTTTTTGGTATTCACGGAAAAAATGTATATCATACCTATGTTTACCAAAAATTCAATCATTACTGTTTGGCATTCATACTTCAATGCCCTTTTCTTTTCATAGGTTCCTTATTTTTTTAAATTTTACATTACTGTGATCCACAAACATAGGGCATTAAGTTTTAATAGATTGTTCCAGTATATCCAGCAACAATACCCAATCCTTTGCTGGTCCCTTTGTGCGTGCATCAAATCTCTATTGGGTATCATTTTTAGAATAATCTACTAGAACTCTACCCTTTTGGGTGCACTTGAAGCAAGAAAGCAGGTTTGGAGTCGTGGTGCAGTAGCACGTTCCATTTCACTGAAATACCGTAAGGAGTTAGTTTACCCTCTGTTGCAACTGCCAGATGGCCTTTCAGAACTTCACTTACAGGTAGTAGTTATCAGATGAGCCCATTGGGTCCAAATCTTGTTGTTCTGCCTCTCCCAAGTACATCATAGCACAAAGAAAAGGGGTGTTTATTTCTTATTTGTATGGAATTGCCATGGTTCACAAATGATGGGGGAATCAAATACCAGAATTGACATGGCTTTGGGGCACAGATGGAATTGCAGCCATGTCCATCCTGATATCCAATTCCCTTGCCAAGTGCTGCGTCGCTTACCGAGGCCTGAAGTGCAAGCTTTCCAATTATTTTCTTCGAGCATGGGCATTAATTTGTCAATTAACTACTTCAACAACACTCTCGGTAGCTTTGAGGTCCTATCTTAGCTTCCGGAATACAAAGTGCAGGGCTCAAACCCTGGGTGGTCCCTTTACGAAGGGGTCTGGGGCATTGCCTCAGTTCCTTTGGGATATAAAGCCCCAATATTTCTGTTAAGCATCAACTAATTTACCTAATGTGCATAGCCGTTATGGATAAGGAAGACTCAAATATGTGTGCTCTGAATTACGAAGATTAAAGCCAAGTTAAGGTAACTATATTTTATATTAACACCTGTCTTGCAGTCTTCCCCCCCCTGCTCCACCCCCTGCTGTAATACTAAGAACAGGACAAGAGAGCAACTATCAAAAGCAATTTAATCAGTGGTGTCAAATGAGTCTTGCTTTCCTTTCAGCCGGTATTCCGAAGAATGCTTCAGCTTCTTTTCTCTGGTGTTTGATTACGACACTACAAAGCTTACGTAAGCAAGGAGGCCAAGTGAGAGGAAAACAAGCATTGCCCCATTTTTTGAAGTGACAACAGGGTTCTTCCGAGCCGGTGTACCCGTTATCACGTGTAAATACTATAGAGTAGAAGATCCAACCATAGCGTTCCTAGAGGCTACGTCGAGAACTAAACCCCCGGAAACAACAACACAAATTATTCGTATGCGTTTCTGACACAGCACTCGGTCGACGTAGTCAAGTGCCGCGTCGGTGTTTGACCGGAACACCAATCAAACCCGAGTTCCAGCCGGACGGCAACGCAGCACTCGCGTCCAATCTGTCTGCCCCCCGCTCCCCCTCTTCCATGCTCGATCGAGATAGACAACGTAAATAATACAGTCCACGGGCTTTTTGTTGGGTAAACGCAAAATTTCCGTGAAAAACCAGCTGGACTAAGCGTCTCCTGCAACTCAATTTCCTCGCCGACATTGCAATCCTTATTCTGGTCCTTCGTTTTGTACCTCGATGAATTGCTGCACAAACTATTTCTGGACCCTCCCTCGAGTTCTAAATGAAAAATCCGTGAGGACATTCGGACACATTTGAGAACCAAGGTTTACATTGAAGGTAGCACGCGTGAAACTCATCCATGGAACCACAACTGGCCCGTTCACACACTTGCAGCTCCTTTGGACCATGCACCTCGAAACCTCTTAAAATTTCTTATGACGAGAGAACTCGCTGGCACCACCTGTCAAGTAGCTGTGGGACGCTCGGCAGTCCCGTGTAATTCCCATTTCGTTCGCACATTGTTTTTTTATTTTTAGGCTCCAAGAACTTTTGTTAATGTTATAAATGACCATTTCTCATAGGTAGCATGCAGATTTGACCTCGCAAATACTGCCAAACCTTCGCTCTAGTGAAATGCAGTTCCAGGGCCACCGTATAGATGGTGCCAGCGAAGTTCTCTCGTCATGAGAGATTTCAAGGTTTTAGGGCAGTTGGCCCCAAGGAGTCACATTGAGTGGACGGGTCTCAACAGATTTCATATAGTAGCGTTTTCTATTGCACCATCTCTTGTTGGAGCTCGTCATATCTACAACCTGTTTTCTCTTGGATCCAACGATTTTATGACATCGGCATCTATTCCGTGCTAAACGCGTACCAATCAATGCAGATTTATAATGCCAAATTGTCCCAAAATAAATGGCAGAAACCAGAAGACCCCAGTTATTTACAATTTAGAGTACAATCATTCCCAGACTTTGCAAGTGCACTAAAAAAAATTGCACGACACGAGCAGTAGTTAAACACACGCTGAACATGATTGAGCCTGCTTTTATTCATTTCAGTTTATGCACGCAACAAAATACAGATTTTATCACAAAGTTTGATGCCTGGCATTTCCCAAAGGCAAATTTTTAGGCTCTCTTCGTGCTCCCCCTTTTGTGGGCAAAGTTAGGAAACCACTGCAGGGTACATTGCGAGGGTGTTGTGAATATACAGCCACCACACTGCCATGTGACCCTGCGATATCACGTGGCATCAATTGATTTCACCAGTGTTGCACGACACTGTGACATTATCGAGGTTACGTGATACGGACACAAAATCCCCGAGGCTGGCCCTATAAATGCTATGCATTTAGAAGATGACCGCCATGCCGGCACTGCACCAAAGTGGTGAGCCACTTCCCCGCAGCCTCTGGCTTTGAAGTTGGGGCATTGTGTAGCAATAATGACAACTAGCTTCTGGCTCTGAAGTCTGGGCACGACGTAGCAGCGATGACTAGTCACCGGGGGCCCAGGCACGCAGGGACAGCTCGGGGCGATTGGGATCAACGTCCCTCCAGTTTGGGAACAGGCAGGGAAGCTGGCCGGCTGCTTTCTCCAGGTGTGGGATCAGCAGCTCCGTAAGCTTGCCCACGCCGGCCCGTGAGAAGTGCAGTCCGTCCACCAACAGGTTCTCCCATTTCTGGACGGGGTGGAGGGAGAGAGACAGACCCACTCTTGCAAGTCACATTTGGGACCACTAAAGGGAGTGCAGCGAATAAGCGGGGGCCACCATAACTTTCTGCCAGAACAAAGGCTCTCAAACCTTTTTGTCTCTGGGAACGTCCATTTCTGTTGACCGATAGCCAAGGAGCACCGCCCGATCTTGGCATTGTTGCAATAAAGCGGTGTAAGGGCCTACAGACATCGTAGACAATGATGCACACACTGGGGAGGCAGATTGCCATGCATCACTGAATGGCTCAGACCTTTTAAAAATGTGCTTAAACTGGAAGAACATTTCATTTGTGGACGGCCCAAGGACAGGGACGGCTCGAGTCCTCTGGCATGCAACTAATCAGTATGCACAGCATGCACCCGCTGCTCTCTGTCTGCACCAGAGAGCATTCTCACGCCATTTGGCATTCCACGCCAAATGTCCCGCACGTTGCATTCGGCCATCTTCAATTTTTTAAAGAAACTTTGTTGCCTTTTACAACAGCCTTTTACAACAAGCAACAAGTATTTCAATAAAATATTTTCGTCTAATATCTTTCAAGGCGTGAGCACAATGTCAATTTTTAAAAACGGGCTTGAAACTAGACGCCCTTCAATGACTGATTCAAAATTCTTTTACAAAGCACCCCGCAAAATATTTTTTCAAGGCAAAAGCCTTGTATGTTTTACATGCAAAAAGGCATTGGCATTGTCCCCAAAAGATGGCCATAAAAATATGTCATCAAGCATGCTCTGCTGAAGGTCAAAGCGGATGCGCCTCAGAAATAACACAAAGAAAAGCGCAGGACGCAGATGCATCGTCGCGGAAGCTGTGGAGCTGGCTGGTCAAGGTCAAAGAGGACACACCTCAGAAATAAAACACAAAAGAAAAGCACAGCAACACAGATACTTCGTCACAAAAGCCGTGAAGCCGGCGGGTGCGCCGCGCCTGCGCAGTGGGGGAGCGTGATGTCACCGCCAGACTGTAATGCTTTCACGTTCTTACATGTAGGCAGTCTTAAATGTCTTCGGTGTGTTTTAATGCGAAAGCATTAACTCTCTTGAAGCGAGCCGACATCATCAGCTTTGAAACCGCCCCAAACGGTACCTTTAATCCTTTCTCCAAGTGAAGCCAGCTCCCACCTATGAAACCATGCGAAAAGCTAGCCAACAGCACCTAAATTCCCCGATCCCAAACGAGCAGAGTAAAGCTGATGGATTTCGGCTTCGGTCCCATTGGCTGGCACGCGTCGACGAGGCTCCCATTGGCCGCTGCGCGTCAGTTTCAACAACCGCTCACCCCATGGCGCTGTGTGTCCATCAGCACACCATTGCCACGAAGTGTCCAAGGTCAGCGCATCCAGGAAAGCGCGCACGCTGACCAACAACGAGAAGTGTGCAGCAGACGAAATAAGGGAACGGACGAGCGGCTTGCATGCTTTTTTGCATTCACAACTCATAAGAGCTTAATCTAAATTTTTTTTGCTTACTATGTGATTGAGATTGTGTAATTGGGTGTGATTTAAATATATATATTTCTTAGAGCACAGGCCTTAGGTGCCCGTTTCCGGCTTGAGCAGCATCGCCGTCGGCGTAACCGGGCGTTGCATTATAGGACATTTCCGATGACGTTACGTCACAAGGGTCACGAGGGAGGTTACTCGTAACCGCGCGTTGCATTATGAGACGTTTCCCATAATGACGTCATACGTGATGTCACTCGTATTTGCGCGTTGCATTATGGGACGTTTTGCATAACGATGTCACATGTGATGTCAGGAAGGCCACGAGCGACGCCACGAGGATCATTAGTGACGTCACAAAGGTCACTCGTAAAGATCATGACCTTCACAGTGAAGGTTACGACCTTCACAAGTGACGAAACGAGGGAGGGGAGGGGGAATGGAGGAGAATGAGAAAAGGAGGAGGGGGAGGCATAGAAGAGGAGGGGAGAGGGTATAAAAGAGGAGGGGCATACCCTCCTCTCCATACCCTCCCCTCCTTCTCCTGAAGAGCTGTGCTCTAATTTGGCAATACAGGGAGTTGTAAACGTCTTTCATTTTTCATTCAAAGAAAACATTTTTTTTTAAATTATTTTCAATTAGATTGTTTCCTTGCTCCAGGCAACTATGAATATTTTCATTCATTCACTGCCCCGTAGACATTGTATTTCTAAAAATATGCTTGAGCACATACAATAAAATATCTCACAGAAAAAGAATACTAAATTTTTGAAAAAGGTTGTTTTGTCACATAAACAGCTGTCAATTCTAGCCTGAGTTGGTCTGAGTAAAAATATGACACATGGCAGGCGTGATAGGCAAAAATATGTTAGGGGGAAAGCTACACACATTGCAATAAAAAACTATGGGACGTTTGGCATAGAATAACATGCGCATTACAGTTGGGAAAAAAAAAAAAAGAATTGAAAGAAAGCCCAGGAAAACTCGGTGCAAGGAGGGCCTCATCGACATAGACAGATTTTGGTTTAAAAGAATTAAATTATTGTTTTCTAAAGCGAGACAAATATCTTTGTTTTTTAAGCTGAATTCCTGCATCGCAACCTGGCGGCGCTTCTTAGTGCATATTCACTGCAAAGCACACCACCACTTGGAAGTAATCAATGATGTTTCTTAAGGTAGACTTGGTAATAACGAGCTGAATTCTGTACTGACATCACCCTGAACGGAGAGAAAACCATCGGTGTCTGTCGGGTCGCGAGCATCGATGAGGCACCGCTTCGCTGTCTGTGTTAACTTGTAGCAACCACTTGTACCGAGAGAGCACGAATGTTCAGTTTATGCAAGTAAAGCAGGAAGTGTTACGGTGTGTACTGCACATAAATAAAATCAATCGAAAATATGTGGATGAATGAACCTAGTTTTACGCCCTTTTAGAAACTGAAACTGCTCCTGCCAGCAATTTTTTTTTTCCTAGGCAAAAATATGTTAGAAGAAAGCTACACACATTGCAATAAAAAACCATGGGACATTTGGCACAGAATGACACACGCATTACAGTTGGGAAAAAAAAAAGAGTTGAAAGAAAGCCAAGAAAAACTCGGTGCAAGGAGGGCCTCATCGACATGGACAGATTTTGGTTCAAAAAATTAAATAATTGTTTTCTAAAGCGAGACAAATATCTTTGTTTTTTAAGCTGAATTCCTGCATTGCAACCTGGCGGCACTTCTTAGTGCATATTCACTGCAAAGCACACCACCACTTGGAAGTAATCAAAGATGTTTTTTAAGGTAGACTTGGTAATAACGAGCTCAACTCTGTACTGACATCACCCTGAACGGAGAGAAAACCATCGGTGTCTGTCGGGTCGCGAGCATCGATGAGGCACCGCTTCGCTGTCTGTGTTAACTTGTAGCAACCACTTGTACCGAGAGAGCACGAAAGTTCAGTTTATGCAAGTAAAGCAGGAAGTGTTACGGTTTGTACTGCACATAAATAAAATCGATCGAAAATATGCGAATGAATGAGCCTAGTTTTACGCCCTTTTAAAAACTGAAACTGCTCCTGCCAGCAATTTTTTGTTTTCCTAGGCAAAAATATGTTAGAAGAAAGCTACACACATTGCAATAAAAAACCATGGGACATTTGGCACAGAATGACACACGCATTACAGTTGGGAAAAAAAAAAAAAAAAAGAATTGAAAGAAAGCCCAGAAAAACTCGGTGCAAGGAGGGCCTCATCGACATGGACAGATATAGGTTTACAGGCTAGGGACACTCATCGAACCATCATAAGTTCTGGTGTCTACATCTTTTGGGTCCGTCGCCGTCGCTCCGTCTGCATGTTCTTTGTACTGGTCTTGCAAACTCGTGCTTCTCTTTCAGATAACGGCTAGGAGATCAGCTCACTTTTTTTGCCTACTGTTGTACTTTGTGTGTACATGTACGAGGGGCGTTCGTAAAGTTTGTATTATTGGCACAAAAAATGAAAAAAAAATGGAGCAAAACGGGCATCAAGATGAGCGCGCGTCCCTCTAGTTTCGGCACAGTACAAACGTTGCATGCTATAGTAGCTCGGAACGCCACTAGGGAGTCGAAACAAAACTGGCACCGCCTGTCAGTGCCAAGCACATGGAGTGATTTGTTTTTTTTTTAATTTGAAGGGAAGCAATGCCAAGGATATTCATTCCAATCTGGGAGCGTTGTTCGGGGACCACGCCCCAGTTTATGACACTTTGGTTAAATGGCGCAGACGCTTCCAGTGTGGCCAAAAGAGAGGAAAGCATTTCAAGGACGGCGACCAAGTGATTGCTCAAGTGGAGCGATTCCTGGACACTCAAGAGGAGGAGTTTTATAACAATTGCCTCCGGCATGTGGTGCATCGCTGGGAAAAGTGGGTGACGTTTGGTGGTGAACATGTAGAGAAAGTCTCAAATCCTACTCGAGTTTGACTGCTGAATCTCTATTCCTTCGTGACAATAGTACGAACTTTACGAACGCCCCTCGTACGTTCGAAACTCTCGAGACGCCGACATTTTATCGAAGATAGGAAACTCTTGCTGGAGACGTAATAATGCGGACCTCCCCGACATCCTTTAATTGCTTGCAAGAAAGAAAAAGCTGTGTTTCTACAGTCGTGCATTGTTAATACGAAACCCGTTAATATGGACATCCCGCTGCATATACTAGACATATTTTTGAGGACGAACTAGGTAAATAAATGCATTTTTTTCTCGTTATTGTAAGCAACTCAGATTATGGACGCTTTTTGGAGGGAACAGAAGTGTCCATATTAACGAGACATCCCTGTATTACCAAACGATTGTTGTGGAAAAAAAAATCCTAAATCGACTAGCTTCGCATGCTTTGCACATTTGGTCTCGCACATATGCACGCACATGCACAACATTTGCATACATGCATGTTCTCTGACCAGAATTATATGAATTTGAAGTATACGGTGGTCGACGATCATTATTTTACCTGCGCACTGGAATCGGCACCAAGTTAGTTTTCGAATATTCACGAGTCTGTAGAAAGATATGTCGATTCACACTTTTAATGCTATGTACAGTATGAGACACAAGCAGTCCATTGGTGTGAAACAGTAGAGTGTTGACCAATAGCGCGGGTCCGTGGCCTGCACTTTCCTTTTTCATTTATCGTCCAGTTGGAAATCGCGTTGTCCTAGTAGCTTCGAGTTAAATGAACGTGCGTGTTAGGGTGCCTCCATCGACCTACCTGCTCCTTCAGAAATGCCGAGAAGGCGTCGACGACGGCATGGTGTCTCAGAGACCCCAGCTCCTTGCAGGCTTCCGCATATTTTGCAGTGCAGCCGAGGCTTCGGTACCTCAGCGGTTGTCCTGCAAGGAAATTCACCCTTGGACAATGCTACGGTCGTTCAAATATCGAAGATCTACATGAAGTTTTGTCTAGAATTGTTGACTCCATTTTTTTTTTCTCAAGTTTCATGAGAGCAATTAGTGCATATGTCAATTTTACTCATCATCCCCTCAAGAAAAAAAAAATCATTTTTAATGTGCAGTGAATGCGCCACATGACATACCAATCTTTCATAGATATAACTTTTTTTTTTTCTAGCATTTCGTGCTGGTTTTACTTGATATAGCAACACAAAAATCCTGTCAAATAAAAATTGCTCCAGGAAGCAAATGATAGGGATCCAACACATTAAACTTATCAATGTGTAGCTACAGGTTTAAGCTACCCACTGACAGTTTTGCACTTACATAGGGCACAAAGAAACATGCATACCGTATTTACTCGAGTAATAGCCGCACTATTTATGAACAAGGCCCCTGCGTCTACTTTCCCGCAAAGCACATATAGATCCAATCATCGCGTTGCCCATAAATAACATAGCGAATAACCAGATCGAGAACATGATTCTCCATACAAATGCAATCTTCACAATTGGTATCTTCGCGTGAAGACGTTATCTCTGTCCTGTTAACCGCTGGAATCATGCTGTCGATCGCGGTGATTTGCAATCCGCGTGCTCCGCGGAAAAGCGAACCCTCAGGTTTTCTTCATAAACAATGTGGCTATTACTCGAGTAAATACGGTAGTATTTAAAAGAAGGTCATCCAGCTTTGGAACATCAAGTACAAAAACAGCAGGTCATGTGGTAGACATGCCATGCAAAGGAAATTATCACGTTACTATTTGACTACCTATGTATTTCCGGAAATTTTCTTGCAAGGGCCAAGTTAATTTGTTAAATAAATTATATTTGTGGTGTTAAAATGTGTTTTAGGAGCATGGGACCAAAGGAGTAGACTTCATTTGTGTACGCTAGGGTCCGGCAACCCGTGGCACATGAGGCAGTTTCATGTAGCCCCCGGCACAATACCAGAAAAACAAGCACCCCCCTCCCCCCTCCCCTTCCCCCCCATCCCCTGCCCATCAGGCCTCCCTGTGTAGGTTGTGGAGCATTGACGAGTTCGTTAAAAATTTGTCTATAAAAAGCAACCAGAAAAAAGTCAGTGATCAACAAAACACTTTGTTAAGTTTAAGCAACCTACTGGCTTTGAATGATTTGCTTTGAATTTCGAGATATCCTGCTCAGTCCTTGCTTTGGAGTCCGTAGAGCACTCACCAACTTCTTTACAGTGCGCAGCCCAAGCCTTCTGATCTGGTGGTGGTGGTGTGATAAGTATGACCTTGTCATACGGTATACCACACATCTGGAAAACATTTCATAGAAGTTTCTATATTTTACCCAACACACCAGGAAAAGATGAAATGTAGCTTTTCACAATGTTTTCAAGCGAACCCAATGCTCTCAAACAAATTATTATACATATTATGGGTACTTCTGCAGTTGAGGTAACACTAGGTCTAATAAAAATAATACAGCCATGAACTTTGGATGAAAGGACACCTCTAGACACATTGAAACCACCAGAGAAAAAAAAAATCCCTAAAAGCAAAAGTTTTTTTTTTTTTTTTTTGTGTGTGGAATACTTGGAAAGCTGAGTGAGTTACACAGAGCAATCTGCTTAAGACAGGCACGTAGCCAGGGGGGAGGGCCACCCCCCCCCCCCCCCTGAAATCTTTCATTTTGCTGGGACCTCCTCTCCCCCCTCCCCCTCATACAGCATTCTGTCATGGGCGGGCCCCCCCCCCCCCGAACCAAAATCCTGGCTACGTGCCTGGCTTAGGATGAAATTAATTGTTTGAAGAACCCAGATCTCATGGCATAGCCAGGATTTTTGTCATGCACTGTCTTCATTGTTTGCTACCACATGAAAGTGCACAAAGAGATGGATAAATCATAGTGACTGCACCCTTGCACTACCTTAGCTACAACTTTAAAAGTCTCTTCTGAGGAACTATCACTTGCATAAGGCTATAACTTTCCCTCGGTTGGACCCACAGTCTGCTGCCAAACCCTGCCATGGAGCAAAAACAGGAGATAGAAGAAGACATCAAGAGATGGTATCATTTTTCTGTCTTGAATTTAGAGCCATTTATCTTTCTGGTCAAGGATCTCAAGTTTTCAACAAAATTTAGTCACCGTGTCCCCTGTTTTCCTTTTAAAAAAAGCCCCTAATCTTAGACAAAAAACAATTAAAAAAAATTTGATTTATAAGTCACAAACAACAGATGAATTCAAAAAGCGCACATTTATTTAGGGACATAGATCCAAAGTTCTATATCCAGGCTGTTTAAAGCAGGTTTTAAAAAGCTTTTTTTTTGTTTTCTCAGAATTAACTTTTTTATCACAACACAAAGTTTTGTCCAGGATATCTTTGAATTTAAAATATGAACCTGAATATCTTTTTAAGGGTTGGATACCTCATAAATCAAAAAGTGCAACAAGACCAGGATTTCTGGGAAATGTTACCTACAAGATTTTCTAATTTACAAAAGCTTCATTGGTTCATTTCTAATTATCAGTGAAACATGTTTAGCATGTGGTAATCTGTCCTAGAATGCTGCTAAAATTATAAGAATGGTTTTGTTCCACTGCCTACTATTTGTAGAACATGCAGACATACTGTGTGCGGCACACAGTACATTGTTTTCTAGAAAGTCTGAACTTTAACATATGTTGTTTCTGCCCAACTTTTTTTTAGAATACTCCCATCAAAAACTATGGCACACTACCATAGCTTTTGATAGGGGTATTATAAAAAAAAAAGTAAATTAACTGTATTAATGAACAAGACTTCACCAAGAAAGTCGTAAACGTAGAAAAATGTTTGAACAGTGGCAGAGGCTGCTGTTCAGGAATGACGTATGGGCTAAAATTCAGACTTTCTGGAAAACAATGATAGGCAGGAAAACAATTGACTCCTATTTATGCTTAGCACAGCAAATTACACTAGGCACGAAAATTTAATATAAATTGGTTGAGAAATGACATAAAGATGTTTAAGACCAGGGTCAGTATTTTAGTCTTGAGAACTGTTGCACTTGCCACCCTAAAAACCAGCAATGCTGGCACGCTTAAGTCGTACCCACTCTGACGTGAGACAGCATCTCCTCCATGTTCTGGACAAACTCGTCCAGGGGCACTACTGGATTCCCGCCTTCAACAAGGCTCGAACTGTCGTTGGCGCCAAGGCAAAGCACGAACGCCGCCACTGTGCTGGCGTCCTCTGGGCCCAGGACTCGGGGGAGGACGTGCTTGCACATGCGCGAGTTGTAACCGGAGAAGCCGCGGGCAACCACATCGCATTTCCTGAGAAAGGAGGACAACCGTCGAGCGATGCTTGTTTCGGCACTTTCCCCCCGCACCAGTATATTCGCGACTCCAGCGACCTATAGGGGGCGCCACCACCAAACAAACATGGCGGCTGAGTCCAGGTCGTGGCGGCTCGGCCGGGCCGCCTGAACAGGTGGCGCGATCAATTTAACAGATTTTCTTTTGTTTAATGCCCAATTTTATAGGTATTTCAACTGAGACGGTTAAGTATAGCCGGTGCAGATAAACTTGCAAAGCATAGTTTTGTTTTGCCGGTGTTTTTTTGTTCTTTTCGTGTCAAACTTTCGTGTCGGAGATTTCGTTCAGAACCGAAACTATGGGCTCCGAAGAGACGGTAATATACTAATCAGTTTTGATCATCTAAGGAAAGCGGCGATGACTATGGAATTGTTCCACAGAGAGTAACTTTTCAGCTAACTCGCATGCCTCGACCATGCGACTTATCTGTCCGCGAAATCGAGCTTTTGTGCGTATCCGCGTTTACAAAACAGCTCCAGCCGTCTGCTCGGCCAACAACACAGGCTGCAGGAAAATTACGAAAATTAAGCAACCGCTTCTTGAGCCAAGGACCATGTTAACCCGCCGGCGCCCCACTAAGCAGCTGATACTCGTATTTCAAGTCAGGTTTTAGTAGCAATCGAGAAATTTTGATGAGCGGGTTATGTATTATATTACCTACTATGGGGGGAGGGGGGGCGGGGGAGGGGTCCCACTAAAGCGATATTAGTATATCCTTCGGGTTGAAATATGAGCTTAGTTGACTAGCTATTAGGCGAGCTACTGAATAAAAGTATATTTGACAGACGGTCACATAAACTTAGCCAAATGGTTCTATAGCCGGCAGCACGGAGACAAACTGAAAAGAGTCTTCATTGAAGATCCACGCAGAACCACTCTGCATTGAACTTTGCTTCGACCAATGTAGACGTATATTGCTGCTGGCTTCGACGTCCTCGTAATATAAATATTGGAGGCGCGATAGGTCAAAATGCCGTGACAGCATCTAACGGTGCGAGACTTGTCTCCCACCTTTTGAAAACAGATCATTTCCCTCATTCATCATTTGCAGCGAGCAAGTTTTCCTGAATCAAGTAATTGCGAAATCAGCCCAACTCCTTCAGTGTGCTCCACAGGCTTTTTCGGCGAAAAGCAGCCAAGATGAATAGCCAACGCACCGACCGGCGTGGGTGGCTCAAACTTAAAGCTAACCGAACACAACCAAACTCAAGAAAAGCAGCTATCGAACCTTCCCATTCATTTGACTGCAACATTGATGTTCCCTCCAGTATCAGTTACCAAGCAGTCGTCACTTTGAATGTGATTCGAGACAGACAAGAAATCAAAAAGTTTTTCCGTGATTCCTCTCTATCCAAGAAATCGAAAGCACGCGACCGTGTGCTGTGGAGTAAACGGGCTTTCAAACACGTAATAGAAGAAAACAATCTACTGAGGCTTCACCACACTAATGATCACTCAGGCAAACTTAAGAAATATTCGGACCTTCGTCAAATTACATTGTTCGCCACCGCGCCGACAACACGTCTCCGCGAAAGCCACCAGAGACGCGGAGGGGCGCGGAGCGACCTGGACCGGCTGGTTCCCGGTTTTCCCGCTTGGCGGCGTCCGTTTTGCTGGAGTCGCGAATACCTCTTTCTAAAAGACGCCCGAGAGAGTGCTGGGCATGTGGGCACGCACTCCACGTGCTCACCTTGTCTGCATGTGCAGTGCCAATTGTTTTAGATTTTTGCTTTGAAGCAGTTGCTGCTGCAGGTGGCAGCACAGACAATGTGTGTAACTGCCATGGAGGTAGGAAGCTTCTGGAAGCGACAAGGCGCCACCAAAGGTGAACTCAGAAGTGTGGAGGGACACGCCCCCGACGATGACCAAAACAGCCGTGGTTTGGTCATATCGTTGGGTCGTGTCCCTCCACTTTTCTGGCTTCACCTCTGATGGCGTCATGTCGCCTCTAGAAGCTTCCTACCACCATAGTAACTACGCTGGAAGTATGCTAGTATGCTAGTTGTTGCTTGGTGATAACTTAGCGAAAGGGCTACACACCTTTCTAGTGCTTATTGCTCGGGCAAAAAATCCAGTCACAGAGCTGTTGGTGCATGCACAGCGTCCGATATTCAGCAGGAGAGATGTACTGCGCATGCTCAAAAAGCGTTCCACAGAGCAGCAGACGAACATGGCAGCGCGCAGAGGGTAATCTTTGCAATAAGCTATACAGGCTCTAACAAAAATCTGTCTATCATTTCCTTTTTCTATATACTCGTTCGTGGCATTTCTATAACATGTCCTGCGCGACAGACTCATCACACTTTCAGAATGGATGTAGCCCTAGCCCAAAAAAGAGTGTGCAGTCAAGATTACTGAATGTGGAAGACGGTACCTCTCGAATGCGGCGGCAACAGCAGATCCCCAGCCGCCTTCGGTTGAAAAGCATTGCTGTTCAAAAGAAACATTGGTTTGACCGAGCTATTTACACTATGAGCAACGTTTTTTGGTCAAGAATGACCTGACCCACATGCGGAAGGGGGGAGAGGGGGGGGGGGGGGTCAGTCTGAAAGGTTGAAGTCCCGAACCTATGCAACTACAAGCATCCTTTTTTTGATCCGAGATTGGAACAACAACTGCACGGGAGTTACCCCGAATGTGACGTCGGTGCATCGCAATAGACCAGTTTTCAAAGTGACATCGAGCAACAGTGGTAGTTGCAATTGTTACAAAGGCTACAGTCGATAGCATCCATCCATTGTTTAGCGAGTGCGTGACCAGATCCAAGAGTTTGCCAAATGCTGATGCAGCACTCATTTTCGATACGAGCCGAGCCAAGTTCACGCCCAACGCCGACGCGGCCCTCGGGTTCGTTACATGCTCAAACAATGGCAAACTCTAATAATTGGCTGCAACAGCTATGAGATGGTGTGCATTTCTGAAAAGGGTCTATTTACTCCCACAGATTAGCTTTGAGTACCAAATCCAACCTGGTGACATAAACGAGCACATTCTACCACACTGTTATAGTTTCCACTGCAGCCTTCTAAACTCTACCCTACTGGTTGTGTGCAGCCTTACCAAAGATACAGGGGTTAGAGCATTACCCAAGTAATTAAAAAGGACGGGAAGGAGGAACTCCTCTTGAACCCAGATAGTCAATTGCACTGGTTCGCGTACGGTGGTCGGCGGACCCTTTGGGGTTCCTGCAGGCCTCTCTTTAGGGTCCCCGAAGTCAACAACCGTCAGTCAAGCAGAGCAATAAAACTTTTTTTTTTTATTATTGATGCTGGCTGTTTTACAAAGCTAAATACTAGAACAAACTATGTGTGCCGAGTGGGTAGGGTTGATTATTCTCCGTTTCAGAGCTTCGAAGTGGTTTCAAAGTTGACTTGTGTCATTATAATCATCTTGTAATCCCCCTCCAGTGGATGGGATCCCCCCTCCCTTCTGCTGATCCAGAAGGGATCCCAGAAACATCCGTGGTTGAGAACCAGTGGTCTATTGCATATCCCAGACGTCGCTTTTGTCCCACTCGGAGGTTAGCCAGCCACTGAAACTTCATAGAAAAAGGGCTGTCCTCCCTCTCCCACCTGTGGCTTCCACAGCGCTGCATGCAACTAGCGAGCTGCAGTGCAGTTGTGCAAGAAATAGAAAAATCTACAATCTTATATCCAAACTAACTTTAATACACACAACAAGAATGGGAAAAAAAAAAAAAAACAGATGAAAAGCTGTTTTTTTAGAAACTAAAGCAGTATAGTTCACACTGTTGTCTGCTGCAGCTGCAGTTTCGGTTCTTGATGACTTCTCAAAGAAGAATGCACATGAAAATATGTCAATTTTTGTAGAAACAAATAATCTAGTCATTTATTAGTACTTCTCAACATGAAGACACACCTTATACCGAAATTCTTGGAATTTGGTGGAGCTGCACTTTAAAGATGACTGACGACATTGAAACTCATTGAAAAGCTAAATCAGCAAAGCGGACTTTGCTTATGCGCAGAAACCTGCATATCTCTGGTAGACAAAATAAAACTTTCGGATGCTGGTTAAATTCTATCACATTTTGCCCATCGGGTACAGATACAGTACACCCTAGGCACAGCTTGGGCGACATTTCAGGGGTCCGCACTTTGGATGGGCACATGTAGTTACTTGAGACAAGAATGCATGTTGCATGATTGCTATACAGGAGGCATTCAGGATGATACATTTGTGCATGTTGCTCCGCTCATGGCCAGAACGTGATCCTACGTCATCAAGAATAAATTTTAATGGCACAGAAGTCGTGAAGCAGTGCAGAAGAATAACTTTAACCCACATCCACAAGCAACGGACTGAGTCATGGCTGCCAGTAATCTAAACCAACAATCTTTCTTATTATAATATTTTGTCAAAATAAGTTAGGAGTTTACAAAGCTTACATAATTGTGAAATGTTATTCCCGAACCAAGTAAAAGCCCCTTCCCTATTTTGATTGGATAATCTCTCAATTTGGAGGGGGCGCTAGCTCGGTATTTTACGGTAGGCCTCTATCGAGTTCTGCGTTCAGATATTGGTCTGCGTTGCGATTGGAAGGGATTCTCGGCCTGTGCCCCAAAACAAAACATTTAGGTTGACCGTATGCCGTCCACTGTACATATACAAAACCTTGTTTATGTTTGAAGCAGTAGCTTAAAGATAAACAAGGTCTGGATGCTTTCGGGGAGCCTGTTGAACCAAATTTTGGGGGCCTCGAGTTTAGTCGTTGAGTGCTGCTTGTGCTCTTGCTGTGTCCGGTCCTGCGTTGATTCTATTCCTGCCTGTGACCCAGTATTTTCTCCGTCCCGCGATTCATGGACCTCCAGAGAAATAGCCTGCCTTAAAATGAGCATCGTCTTTCCCACCAGCCAGAGGTTGTGGCCAGTATCGAGTAGTACCGAAGTAGTGAACACCAAATTAACTGGGAGGCACTCACTTGATCGAATGACGTTTTAGCGAACGCCCACGTTTCATCGAACGACACTTTAGCGAATAGTCGGACGCTGCGAAGCGGCGTTTTCGGGTGGGCCAAATGAGTTCATATTTTTGTAATGAGTTGCCGCAGACTGTCGTTGCGAAGCGGCGTAAAGCGCAGCGCGACGGATGGGTTAACGCGCGCCCCCGTTATTCGGTAAAACGACCATTCGCTCAAATGTCGCCGTTCGCTAAAATGTCATTCGCTCTTGTGATATGGACCCAAATTAACTTTACGGCACATGTAAGATTCATAGTAAAATTTCCCGAGCTCAGCTCGCGATATTTACAGGAATACCGGTCTTCGTGGTTCATGCGAGGTTCGAAAACTTCGAACTTTGCAAACTTTTTCGGCTCCCAAAAAATTTGATCTTTTTGAGGTTTTCGAATCTGAAGCTAGGACAAATTCTAATCTTGCGAACCTGAATCATACAGGAATTGAAACCGTAGAATTTTGTGAATCTCAATGTTAAAAAAAAGTCAAAACCGTTGATTTCAAATTTTTAAAAACCTCGATGCCGTTGAACTTTACGAATTCGAACCCGGGCAGTGTCGAAAGTTCCGAACTTTGCGAAATCGAACCATTGGGATGTTTGCAAAGTTCGAAAACCATCGATTTCGAACTTCGGGTGGTTCGCGACGGGTCCATATCACAAGAGCGAATGACATTTTAGCGAACGGCGACATTTGAGCGAATGGTCGTTTTAGCGAATAACGGGGGCGCGCGTTAACCCATCCGTCGCGCTGCGCTTTACGCCGCTTCGCGGCGACAGTCTACGGCAACTCATTACAAAAATATGAACTCACTTGGCCCACCCGAAAACGCCGCTTCGCGGCGTCCGACTATTCGCTAAAGTGGCGTTCGATGAAACGTGGGCGTTCGCTAAAACGTCATTCGATCAAGTGAGTGCCTCCCGTTCGGGACATCCCTATTTGCTATGGGTATTGCCGCGCTCAGCCCGTTTTCATCGCTCGTGTGACTCCCTTCCTCCTCTTCCCCCCCAAACACAAAACCGAATAACTATAGTCGGTGACAGGTCAAGAACGAAGTGAAAGCTCCTTTCACCCCTTTCCACTTCAGCGGAGCAAACGATAAAGAGGAGGTCGCCTCATCTCCAGCGTTCGCTCTACCAAAGTGAATAGAGGTGGGAGGAGCTTCCACTTCGTTCTTGACCTGTTACCGACCATAGTGTAGATTACATAATGCTGCTAATGTATATCAATGTTTTCATGCAAAATGAAAAGTGGAGGAGCAGGATGTATGCCCGTGGACAAGTTTCTGTGGCATTTCACAAGCAACGAGTGATCGTGCGCAGGTTTGATCGACGCTCTAGTATGGCTCAAGCCGCTCAAACTACTGTTCGGTGCACGTGCTCCCCGTGCCGATTCGTAGGTGGCTACGGTGTGCGGCCGTGGCCAAGCAAAAGAAGCTCTGCAGCGCGCAGTACTCACCTGTGTTAGCGAGTCGCCGAACAAGAAAATACGCGGCCACACAACTCGGGCGTTCGGTGCCATTTCGATAATGACACTTCTGATATCGCCTGTCGACCTGGCGGTAAAGCTAAAGCGAAATTAATCTGTCGAACGCTTTTTTTTCCTTTTTTTTTTTTTTGCCGCCGTTTCGCCGGTTTCGCTCTTTAGCCGATGAATGTATTGGCCGAGTAGATTAGTGATACCTCTGACCAAGAAGAAAACAGTATATTTGTAACGGGGGGTTACTTGCGCCATCTAGCACACAACATATAAACTCTTAAAATTTTAGCCGCACTTTCTTGGTTCATATTCAAATTTCAAACAGTTTTTAACCACCTCGTAACGCATTCGTTGTTACGGAAGATAGTCACACGAGTGCCACGTAAGCGTTCGACCTGAGCTCGGTGTACTGTCGGTACCTGTGGTCGGTAATGTCGGTACCGTGTCCCGTCCCAGTCCCAGGTGTCCAGCGGGCGGCTGGCCTGACCGACCTGGGTCGGTCCAGGTTGGAGCCGTGACCCTTCGATCGATCATTTGCTCGCCCAATGCACGAGGGGCCCTTGCAAGTGACCCACTGATTGTCACTGAACATACGTCCCAGCGGAACGCTGTCGCGCAGTACTCGTGTCCACGATGTGTTGGCTCGCACCTGTGCTGGGAGAGAGGACGAGATCAAGCTCGTCACAGTGAGCACATGCTTCAGAGAAAACGAGGAGGCGCGAAGTAGCAGGGTCCAGGGGCGATGTTAATAATAATTGGGTTGTGTGTATGTTTATACAGCCTAGAACTTGGTCTGCCTCACAGGGGCGACGAGTCTCCCAGCTGTAGATGAGAAATTTAGCCAGTGCGGTACAACCGCTAGCCTGGGGTCTTTAACGTGCACCACGCAGTGGTGACACACGACCGCACGCCGGTACGATGCTCATCCAGATCGAAACGGGCAGGGGTGGGGCTCGAACCCAGGATCCCTGGGTTCTGCAGCGCGAGCTTTCGCTCCACGTGCTCCGAGCTGGTGTGCGCTAGACCACTCGGCCACCGATCCCCCCCAGGGGCGATGTTCGCACCCCTTGTTGTGCGAAGATTCCCTGGATGTTTTAATTGTTGAAGGAACGTTAAAACACCATTCGGGACGTTCTAAAAACGTTGGTATGGGAATATTCCCTGCAAGGTAAGCTGCTTAAAGGGGTAGGGAAACGAAATTTCAGCGCTCATTTTCTGGATTTAATGTGTTGCATGTCGCACCCTAACCTCAAAAACACCAGTCTTCCGTTGAAAAGCACAAGAAAACTAATTTTAAAGCTAGATAAACGATGTTCAATGTGCACCTGGTGGATGCATGCGGAGCCTATTTGGGAGGTAGTCTAGCAACGTTGTAGAATCTGCTACGTAGTCATGACGTAGCAGATTTCTTTGGAGCAGCGCCGCTCTTTGGTATTTCAACATTTTCATTCTTAGCTTTCCTCCTCAACTCACAAGTCTTGCATTGTACCAAACGGTCCAAGAAGACGGAAAGGAAGGACTCCCCTCTTTCTCGGACCCTCGTTCGTGCAACCGGACACAGCCATTCTCCCCCTAGAAGATTAGCCCGTCGCTCAAAACTCGAACAAAAGTTGCTTTCCCCACCTCATGATAAGTGTAATAACGAAAACGGCTTGACATAACAAAAATAACAATTTAATTAAACGTTTCGCCTCTCATGCGGGAGGCATCTTCAGTAGAGCACAGAGCGAGTGAGAGTCGCCAATGTTATCTCCAAGCCAAATGACCCGACCCCGCCAGAGGCAGAAAGGGGCGTGATCTACCAGGTGCAGTGCAAGGAATGTGACGCTTCCTACATTGGAGAGACGGGACGAAAAAGAAAAACAAGACTAAAAGAACACGCACGGGACCCCCGCTTCAAGTCCGAACTCGTCGACCACACATGGACGTCAGGACATCAATTTGACTTTGACAAGGCATCGACCTTGGCGAGGGATCAAAGGTGGGGACCGAGGAAGCTGCTGGAATCTTGGTTCATGCATCGCGAAAAAAAATTTTCCTGTGCGCGTGCGCTCCTTTTTATTTTTGGCGTTTGATTCTCCCGCCTCTTTCCTCCTCGCTTCTTTTGATTCGTGACGTCAAGAATCATGCAATTTAGAAGCTGTGTAGGCGACATCTTTATAACATTTAATAACGGCAATCCTAAAACATGTTTTTTAACGCAATTGCGAACGCACCACGGCCCTTCTTTTTGAAATACCAAAAATCGGGAGTTCGTTGTGGTGCCGTCTCCTGTAGAGTGCCTTCATACACACGCGCGTTTTTGCTTGAGTGGTGACATCTCAGCCATTTTTCCGCCCTATCGTTTTTTTATGCATTCTGAAGTGCGCGCAATCCGGTGTCACTCAGCTCGAGCGCGTAGCTTTGGCTAATGCATAGACGCCATTTTACCGCCCAAGTCGCGCACCGAGTGCGCAAGAGTGTCACGCTCTGGCACATTCAGGGCAACAATGGATGTCTTCACCCTGAGACAGACAGACATGTAGGCACCCTAGTCTCCTGGATTTGTATCCACAGATCCACGGCTTTGAGCGGTGTCGCCTGTTTTCCAACGGAAAACAGGCGACACCGCTCAAAGCCGGTCCGCCGCAAAGCCGGTGCTCGCTCCTTTCCTCCTCGCTTTGGGTCGCCATGGCAACAGCAGGGAGTCGTGAAAGGAAAGTGGACTCTCAGGATTCCGCAATATTTGACGGATTTGACGCCAAGGCACCGGCGCGGATCGCGCGGGAACTTCGAATTCGGCATTCGGAAATTGTTTTTTTACTTCACAAATACTGAATTCCCAAATTTCAAATTTTGAGGGTAATGTCCCGGCATCGTTTTCAATCGTTTCAGATAATAAAAAAAAAAATGATTTTGATCTGTCAGTGCCCCTTTAAAACTCGTTTTAGCGAGCAACTCGGTGCGCCCTAGACTGCCCAGCTGTTCCTCGAAAGATGCCGAGTGCAACTTGTAGCGCTGTAGGCTGCTCAAACAACCCTCTGCGCAACACGGAGGTGCTTTTTCACAAGTGTCCGACTGACCGGAAATTGGATAAGGTGTGGGTGAACGCTGTTCGACGAGTGGACTTTGGACTTCGGCTTTTACGCACCCGAGGAAAAAAGAACGAAAAACAGTCGTGTTCAGCACAGCACACGTGTGTTCGGGCGCCGCGGCCCGCGCCGGAGCCTAAAACCTTCGTATCTACTGACCCGCAGCGCGAAAGCGAGAGGGCCCCCAGTACTGTGCGTCACTGGCAGCGCGGCGTAAAGCAACGCCGCTCCATCCACGGAGCCCAGGGGGGCTACGTTGCGCTTTTTGCACACTAGGGAGAGGGAAGTGACGTCAACAACGCAGCAAATGCAGATTGGATGTTGATTTTGTTTTCTTCTGTCAACATCCAATCTGCATTTGCTCTAGTCGTTGACGTCACTTCCTTCTTCCAAGTCTTCTGGGAGTGCAAAAAGCGCAACATAGCACCCCTGATAACAATTTAGGCCTAGCGACGAGTACGGAAGACCACACACACGGCGACAGCCGCCGAGTGCTGCACCGAACGAGTTCACCTGTTTTCCAGTCGCTAGCTTTTGGGTATACAAGCGACAAGTACGGCATAGCGCACGCACGGCGGTGGCCGCCGAGTACGGCACCGTACGAGTTGACGGGTTTTCCAGTCGCTAGCTTTTGGATATGCGCACTAACTTTTGCTACATATGGTCGATAACTACATACCACGTATACAGAATTAAAACAAAATCAGCTTACCTCCTATCTTTAGACGGCTAGCGCAACAGAGGTAGGTGGCGCTCGGCCTGCGTACTAGAGAACACAGGTATTCCAAGCGCAGTGGGGATTCAGAAACGGAAGTAAAGAGAAAATGGGACACTTTTATAGCATGTCGCCGAGAGGCATCCAGTTTGTTCAATGCGAACATTCAGAGAAAGGGTGAGGAATGGATGAGTAATGTAAGCAAGAAAGATAGAAACGCAGCTAAGGAGTTTTGGGAGCACTTGAACTCACTCGGTGAAACGACGCAAGCTAGACAGAGGTTCATACTCTCGCATCAGGGAGATCAATTAGAGGGAGATGATGCGATACGATATATAGGAGCAGTGATGGAGGACAAATTTCGGGAACGGGTACATGTGAAAGATAGGAGAACCGAAGGAAGTAGCAGTCCAGCTTGTGACATCGCAGATTTTGGACAAAGAGAATGGGAAAAGGCGGAACTAAGAGTCCCTATGTGGCACATCGACAGGCACAGATGGGATCCCAATCAAGCTGGTGAAGAATTTGGGTCCTAAATGTGAGGCAAAACTAAGGGAGGTAGTGAGCACTATGATATCAAAAGGAAATATTCCAGATGAATGGAGTAGGATGAGTATGATATATAAGGGAAAGGGAGATAAGTCTGATATTAGGAATTATCGTCCCATAACCGTGACACCAGTTATTTACAGGTTGGTAATGCAGATTATAAAGAACAGACTGGAGGAGTGGGTAGATTGCTAGGGCACACTGGGCGAGTTACAGAATGGGTTTCGGAAACAAAGAAGGTTGGAGGACAATATATTTTCTCTAACACAGTGTATAGAAATAGCGCAAAAACAAAACAGAGAGCTCTGGCTGGCATTTCTGGATATCAAGGGTGCCTATGACAATGTGAACCAAAGGAACCTGTAGGACATAGTGGAGAGCTTAAACCTAGATGAAGGACTAACAGCTCTATTAAGGAACATTTACGAAGATATTAAGATGATTATAACATGTGAATGAAAGGCGACGGGGAAAATAGACATAAGACGAGGCCTTAGGCAGGGCCGCCCGTTATCGCCTTTGCTGTTTATGTTGTATCTGAGAGGATTGGAGGATAGACTAGAGAAGAGTGGGCTTGGATTCGACCATTCGTACAGTAAGCTAGGCCAAAATATTCAGCAATCCTTACCGGGATTGATGTATCCGGATGATGTTGTACTACTGGCTAACAACAGGACAGAGTTGCAGAAATTAATGAGCATCTGTGGTAAGGAAGGAGAGGAATTAGGTTTAGAATTCAGTAGTGAAAAATCAGCAATCATGATTTTTAACAATGATGAAGTTGAGAGGCTGAAAATACAGAATATTACAGTTGAGAGAGCTAATAAAGACAAGTATCTAGG